TTAGAAAAACATTTTATCGTGCCAACGTTTCGATCTTTTCAATTGATTAAGGTTTTTAGTTGAGATAAAAAAGTCAGTCTCAGGAGCGGGATTCGAACCCACGACCTTCGGCTCGATACGCCGCTACTCTACCACTTGAGCTATCGTGACTTCGATCCTTTCGGGCACTAACCTTCCATCTCAACCCCACCTTTTGAATTTTCCCTCCTTTTTGCCATTTAAATCTGTTGTTTAAATATGTTGCTTTACTCTCTTATTCAGAAAAAACCCAAATAAAATCCTTCAGCAGTAGCTAACTACCATTTTGAACACCAACACAATTTCGACTTTAATAATCCAAAAATATTACACACAGAACAAAACAAACATAAGCGTAACTTTTTAGAAATGGTTCATATCAACAGGGATAAACACAGCATCAATTACACAACAGACACATGTAAACTCAGTCGCAGCTACGCTAATATCATTAATCAAATTCATTATCGATAACATCCATATATCATCATCACATCACACAAAACATATAATATAACATAAAAAACAATCATCACATTCCACACATCATACATTTCTACATAGTTTAATTTTTTAACAATTTGGCTTTCCTTTCCCTAATTATCCCTGTCTATAATCCTGAAAGGATAATCAGGCAAAACCATTACTCACGTTTTTCCCATTGTCGGCTCCTTTCACCTCAAAGACGACTCCTCATATAAAAAATGTCTTTCTATCCCGACTTCCTTCCCCATCCCTTCAAAATCCAAATAAAACCGCAATATCTCACTGGCACTCTCAACACGACACACAAGAATGACACATTTACACGGAAAACAAACACTTTGAGTGAGTACAAATACTTTGATTGAATCTAAAAAATGTTAGCATTGTATAAATTCACTTTTTTTCCACATCCTACATGTATTTGTTAAATTTAAACAATGTTTATAAATCCCAAGCCCTGAAGATGATCTCAATAAAGATCGAAACGTTGGCTCGATAAAGAAAATGTTTTTCTAAAACCTACATCACAACAGACCGCATCTACGAAAAAAGGTAACAGGTGTACGAAAAAAAAAAAACATTACAGTTATTAAATCAAATTCAACAAAAAAATATAAAGTTGAGAATTTGGAGAGCAGACAATTTTTATTCGTTTACCACTTGGATCCGCTTGCCCTCAAATGACCAACGCTCTGAATAACTAAATTTTATTCTCTTCTGAACACCATAATCTTTGATTTATTTAAATTGATGATCAAATGCCATTGTCCGCAGTAAGTCAAACAATTTGACATTTCTTTGAAGACCTGCAGAACTGTCAGACGTAATAATAATGTCGTCGGCACATAGTAGTACTTTAATTATCCTTCTGCTAATTCTAGGACCACATTCTAAGAATAATTGAGGTCACCATGAAAAGGGCGAATAAAAGAGGACTTAGTAGGCAGCCAGTAAGCTCGCAATCGCATCTAAACAAGAAACACCCCTATAATTTTTTATTAATATCACCTTGCTAAAGGAAAGGAAATATATGTAATAGATCTGCTTAAAGAAGGAATTAAAAACCGGCAACATACGGCGTAAGAATGCAGGGTTATTCCTTAAATTACTAATTATAGTACTTAATTGTGTAAAAGAGAAAGACGCATCGAGAAATGAATCAGAGCCTAAGGCTCAGCATAACTATTTAGGATTCAGTTAGGTTTAGTTAGTATTCAGAAGTTCTTCAGAATGCCTGCGAAAACAGTTATTACCGCACCCATACAAACAACAAACTGTTTTCTGTTAAATTTTTTTAACCACCAGAAATTCCTTGATCCTTTATTACAGATTTGTAGTTGAGATGCTGCCGACAAATTATATGTCCTTTTCTTTTCAACACACAGAATTTGTATGCCATAATTTCACGTATGTAGGACCGTTTCACAATTTACGAATATATATACTTATAATTTGAACGAATGTACTTTCCAACAAACTATGGATTTTTTATCTTTCCGTTAACGAATGAAGTTGTCCTTGCAGAAACACATAGCTGTTCGAATCGTAGTGATGCCGGGTGTGGCCTGCGAGTCGTTCAGACAAAGTGACACAGTCACTCTCTGAAGATGGCTCAATGCCGAAACGCGTTTGAGTAGTTTCCACAACACCACGAGTGAAAATGGACTCAATAAGTGACCCAGTACCACTTTAGCATGTGTCCGAAGAATTCCTATGAGCAAATTAAGATGGTCTTGAAGTTCAGTTGGAGGGAGATTACAAAACCTCAATGGTGCCAAAAATTACATCGTTTATAATATATTTCTTCAAACCATCGTTATCCCATCTTAGTTGAAGTAGAATTGAAAGAAATTTGTCAATTTGGGTTTTATTAAATTGAATGTCAAACTAGATGGAGAGGTGATCAGAGAACATCATCAGTAATAAGTTAAAATCGTGGATGATTAAAATTAAACCAGAAATACAACAAAGATTAAAACTGAATTGCTTGTAGGACCAATAAAAGTGAAATCGCCCCCCACGTTCTCGTGGGGAAGGACCATTCAAAACTATGAGGTCATTGTCATCATAAAATTCCAATACCAATTTACCTATTTTATTCAAAGTTTGTCTTTTGAGGAACGACACAGGTTATGAAGGAACTACGTCTAACGAGGCAGCAGATATACTTGCAAAAAAAAGGAGCCTCGCAACAACCCATAGGGCCAATCTGTATTGTGGAATAAACAATAGCCACAATAAAAGAGAACTGGAATCTTGGGTAACTAAAGAACACAAAGAATACTGGGAGCAAAGACCAGGCATTCTTTACTGGTCTAAGTAAGATTACTACTACTTTAAGATTACTCGCAAAAACAGCCCTATGGGAGAAAGAGTTAATTCTACTTAACAGAAAGGAACTAAAAACTAAAAACTAGCATATTCACAGGCATGCTCCAGTCGTGGCTTACTTATCTCTTTAGTAAGTAGTAGTAATTTTGGTGGTCTTGAGAAAGGAAGACTTGTTGATTCAAGTCCGTTTACTAATGTCAATGAGCCGGATGTTGTTGAAGCGGAAGTCGGTAGCGAGCGAAGAGTCTTGTGCAGCAGGCAGCACGTCGGCTGTTGAGAGTTCGAGAGTGCTGCTGAAGCTATAGTTGTGGTGGCCACCTTGTGAGGGGGCACTTACCACATATAGGGGTTACGAAGGCAGAGTGCTGGGTAAGAAGCGTTCCTCCTCACAAAAAGAGAAAGAAAAGGTAAAAGGGAAGGTTCACAAAGGAGAAGACAAAAACTCTTTTGCTAGAAGAGTTTATTAAAACCTATTTACAATATATACATATATATCCCTATATCCTACCGTCACCTTTCGTTCAATAAAATCCCCAAACACCAAGTCAACAGAAATAATAATGTTTTCTTTTGAGCTTACGGCTCCCTTTTAAAAGTATTATTTTCCAATTTACAGAGAAGAGATCCGACCTGTTTGCCGTGTCGCATACACCTGAAATATGAATCTTATCCCCCTTTTTCCTACATATCCTACCCCGACGTCACTATGGTGGGGAGTCAATCATGTATGTGACAACCTGTAGTTACCACGGTACCCGCTAGGTATATATAAGCAGGAGCACTGACTCAGATACCTCGAGACTCGTCCACTCGACGAACTCTCCCCAATCTCTAATCAAGCACCGACAACGACGCAGACTCGTCACCCCGACGAGTTCTCACTATGCGCCTTGAGTGTCGAGACTCGTCTACCCGACGAGCTCTCGCTAATCACTAATAAAACAACGATAGCAAGGGTACTCGCAGCATTAACCTGGATCTCGCCTTCTCAATACAGCACAGAGTTGACTATACTGGCCAACTGCTTCTATCGCTTGCTAATTAGTGAGAGTTGGTTGAGATCTCGTCGACGATTCTGCATTAAGCAGATTGGGCCCCTCCTTATATAAAGAGTGCTGCAAGCTCATTGGTTTCAGCACAGAAAGCAAAACCATTGTCGAAGCACTGTTGACAACTAGTCACCACATCAACTTAAAAAAAAGTAGGACTATCAACAGATGACGGATGTCGTTTTGTCTAGAAGTACTAAAGCATGAAGATCTTCTTGCAAGGGTTAAAAGGATAATCTTAATTAAAGCTGTATTGAATTTAGTACCATCCGTTTTTGAAATGACAACCGAAATAGTCCATTCGTAAAGGTACCTGCAGGTTCCACTAAATTTTCTCTAGAATATTCATTTCATTCAACTAAAAATCATTTTAAAGGTAAACAAACGTTTGGCGCAAAGCCGTAACTCGTTTGAGTGAAATCAAAACTCACGAGTGTAAGCGGACCCAGAAAGGTTAAGTTTCAGGTTAAAAGTAGTCGGTCCATGCAATTGAGATTAGTTAAATTTGAACAAAGGGTAAAAACAAGAACATAATCATGTCAGATAGCCAGGCAGCAACAAAGCACTAAACTTCAACATTATTAGCTCAAATGTGGTACTGCATTGCAAAAATAAATTTAATAAAGTAGGTATAAAAAAGGTATTCTCTGCTTGGTCCCACAACATGTAGGAGGAGAGGGAATCAAGAGAGCGGACGCCCTAGTAAGGACTGGAGCTGATAGGTCCTGTGCCCTTCTATAGCATACGCATCACACTATCAACCTAGACCTTGTACTTAAACAAAAGTACAAAATAAAAATGAAGGAACAGAGGAATTCACTCGTTGTACACAAACAATTCAAGAAACTTCTAGCATGTTTTGGAAGTAAAGAAGGAACAGAATGCATTAAAGGAAGCAGGAAAACACTGCAAAACCTAACAGGATTCTTAACGGGACACTGCAGACAGAATGGGTGTCTGAAGAAGATTGGTTTAACACAACGCAGCAAGTGCAGATTCCGCGAAGGAGAGGAGACACTAACAAACTGTGTAACTACATTTGCACGCAGGTGGAAGTGTTTTGGGATGCGAAAACCAGGGGCTACTAATCAAATTTCTTAATGAACTGGGACTCACCTGTGTGTTATGGGTGCAGACAGATGAAATAGCTCGCAACGGGTGCAGTATATTACACACCCTGAATATTACATCTTCACGTTATGAGAATTAATTGTATTTTTACTATGACTCTTTTAAATTTTGGCTGCTTTTTCAAGGACCAGTTACCTTAAGGTTAACTGGCCTTTTGTAGTAATAAATTTACGAACACTCACCGAAGTTCACCAGGACACAAGGTTGTCCCATTTGCAACTTGCCTACAATATGGAAGAAAATGCAAGGAAGAAAGAAAATACTAAAATTGTGCTTTGTAAACTGACTAAAAATTCTTCACGCAATTTTTCAACTGAGCACCATCCACGTTCTGCAAATACCAAGACACGAATTACTATTTGTCATCCTCATACGTATGTCCAGAGCGATATGGAATAAAAAAAGTACAGATTCAGTTATGCTTTCCACGTGGTCTAACAGCTAGTTGATGTTTTATGAACGTGAACGTCTCTAAATTTGAAATATATAGTTTATAGGGTAAACGGAGCGAGACTGGGCGGATCAGGTTTTCTCGGACAAGCATTACAATACAAACAAGACGAATTACGTGCGGTATATTTTACTACAATCAAATATTACAAACGTGTTACGAGAATTGCCATATGTACTACACTAAAGTTCCTTTAACCATAGATTAGATTATTGCAGCGATGATGATAAAAATCGTTAATGACAAATGAACCTTTTATATTTATTTTCACCATTAAACGAAAGAAAAACGCCCGTCTTACAATTTACAAACATAATTAAACCAATTTTAGAAGAAGATTAACAACATCTGATACGTCTTATCACTTACTTCTCACTGATGTTATCTTTCGAACGGATGGGTTTGGTGGTGAATACTCTTAGAACTGACGTCACAGAATGATTCATTATTTACATTTACAGGGTGATAGACTAATGTACTAAAATACACAACGTATAGATAAACTATAAAATTATACACAAAATAATTAAAATATTAGAAACATAAAATATGGATACATACATAATATTGTATAAAATATATAAAGAAGATGATATAATTTACACGGACATCAGTAAGGCATTTGATTATGTCAATTTTAATTAGCCTTATTGAAATTAAATTTTCTGGGCTTCAATGGACCCAAATTGTTGTATTTCATAGTTATATGCGTGGTAGACAACTTCAAGTAAAAATAATAATACTTTGTCTAAATTTATCAACATAAAATCTGGACCGTCCCAGGATTTTCATTTAGGCCCTTTATTATTTCTGATCTTTATTAATGATGTTGCTGAATGTCTCCTTAGAATATAAAATTCTTACTCTTTGCTGACGATGTCAAGCTGTACCATATAATTAATAAAACCACCGCCATTCCAAGGGTTCATATAACTTTGTAGTTGAAATCCTCTTAAAAAATTTAAAATTAATTTACAATATTCTAAAACTTTTGCATTAAATTACATTAAATTTTTTGAATTTTCCTGTTTGCTTAATTCTATAAATGGGAGAGTAGAACTGGTAGTTATTGGAGGGAGCAGTGAGGTTCATTGAATGATAAATTATGAGTTTTGTATTTAAGGATGGATAATGAACCTTATATATTTTTTAAATTTATTAATTAAAATTGGTCTTATTAGACCTACCATTAATTTTATAATGATATATGTATATAGGAAAAACAAATGTTTACATTCTTATGAACCCATTAGTGCAATAAGATTTACACTTCACTATTCACAAAATTTCTAACTACACTAGTTCATATGGCTTTGTTCTTTTTAATCTATTGACGGTGTCTGATTTGTATGTGTTTGGTCGCTTCCACATTCTCATACTGGCTGAGGCGAGATTGGTGTTTGCCTGCTAATCTTTGTATTTCTGCCGGGATCTGAAGATGCTTGGTGCATTGAGGTTTAGTTTTAGTTAGTATTAGTCTTTCGAGAGTTAGTATAATTTTGATGTTGCTGTGTTTGGTATAACCCGATAGTTGAATACCATGTGTCCACATGGGCTTTAGGACTTGTTTGTATAATAATAATTTATTCTGAACAATAAGGTTGGAGCCACGTCCTATCCACCAGTATAGTTGTCTATACCTTAAACCTATTTCTGTCCTTTGTTTCTTCACACACTCTTTTCCATCTCAGCTTGGGTCTAAGGTCATTCCCAGACATTTAGCTGTATCGCTGTATGGTATAATAGTTTCATCGATAGTGAGAGGCAGAACATGGTCCACTTATTAGTTTGTAAAATTTATATGTACTGATTAATGCTGATTGAGCTTGATTTTCCATTTTTTTGAACATTCGTTTATCTTATTACAAGCCTATTAAAGGATTTTGGTTGAATGGTTGATGGTCGGTTCTACTGATGCTACCACTGGGTCATTTACCAATATGGTTGCATTGCAATTTTTGGAAAATCACTGGTGTATAAGAAGTAAAGTAGTGGACCTAATATGTTATCTTGTGGCACTCCTGCATTTCTTGTTTTTAATTCTGAATATTGATCTTCTTGTTTGATTATAAAAGGTCTGTCAGATATGTGGAAACTGATAATATCTACGTACTGCTTTGGTAGCATCCCTTTTAGTTTATTGATGAGACTTCATATCAGACCTTGTCAAAAGCTTGTGAGATATTAAGGAAGTAGCAGAACAAGAGATATTTCTATTATGTCTATTGTAATTGTATAACATAAATAAAATGATTTACTTATGTAGGGACGGGTGTCCGCTTGTTCTCGCTTTGTTTTTACAAAAAGAATGTCTTCGACGTCAGAGTCGTACGACGTGAACAACAATGACGAAGCCGGCTGCCTATGCACATGACCACATTGGCAAATCACAGGTTATATAGAATGAATTCTTGATAATAGATAACTAGCTTTTGCTATTAGTTAAGACAGACGTTCTTTTGATTGTTAATGATATGAAGAGTTTTTAACATATTCGATTATGTTTACAATCTGATAATTATCCCTTACAGAGTTTATTTATTTTATTTTCAAAATGGGATGTTGTTTCACGTATTGCTGCAACAAAAACAAAACACAGGTAAGTCTGCATTGCTATTTTTTTTAATGTAAACATAAATTTAAATTTTCATAAGTAATAATTAAAAAATAATATTTAGTATTTTATTGGATGATTTGATTGTATTTACCAATATTATCTTTATTAATGTTTCATTTGTTTGTTATCTCCTACCACATAGTACCAGTGGTCCCTCTTTGTGGTTTATTAAATACATGGTTAATGCTAAATTAGTTACAATAATGTAAAATAATAATTGAAATATAATTATAATGGATATTTGTGTAGCACACAGATACTTACTTCTTGGCCAAAGTCCGTGTATGTGTCTGGCATGGCCATTCCTTGGCTTCACATAGAGACCGTGTAGGAATGCCACCCGATATGAGAATTGCGCTGAGCAGCGAGTATCTGGGTCCCCTGTTACAGTTTTTAGACGAAACAGGGCTGTTTTACTGTATATAACACTTTATAGTTGTCTTGTGTTTCTTTATGTATGTTGCGACTGAATGGATTTATAAGTTTGAATGTGTATTGTGCAAGGGCCAATGGCAGAATATGGAGTACCCGAGTACCTCATCAACCCTCAATTAGATTATTGGTTTGTCTGGAAAATATTGCAGGTTTTCATATTTTCTTTCAATTACCCCTAGTAAACTGCTTACATTTGATGGATTATATTTTTGTACGAATGTCAACAATTTTTCATCCTCTTCTAAACAAAAATGATTGTTTATCTTAGTAATATTTCATTGCTTGAAAATAATTCAGTCTTTACTTAGATGTCAATGCGAGATTTTCACGTAATTTCATTTTATGAGTTTAATTTCTGTCAGAATGGTGCCCAAACATTAATGGAGTCTGGGGGCGATGGCAGTGTCAGTGAGAGCACTGTTAGAGATGGTTTAAAAAATTTTGAAAGGAAGACAAAGAAGTCATAGCAGAATTTCTTCCCTAGATGATGATGTTTTCTGAATTTTGGTTGAAGAAAATCTCAGAATAACACCAGAAAACCACACAGGAGCTTCGCTTGCACTAAATGATTTCTTATTTAGAGTTAGTGCGCACATAGACTGCTCAAAAATGAATAAGGATATTTGTAATTCATTCCTATTCAATTAATTTTAATTAAATTAACCGATATATTCTTGTTAATCGGATAAAACAAAATAGAAACCAAAAGCAAACACAAAAATATTAATCTTTATTTTTAATAACGGATTTACTTAAGAGTAGTAAATATTAAGATTACTCATTTTGTAAATAGACAGCTTTTCTCCATTTTATTAATTATTCCATTCCATTTAACCATGGAAAGTCATCATCTTGAACCAGAAGTTTGCAATATTATTGTGAGGATGAGTCATTGATGTCATCGGCAAGTAGATATCACAGAAGCAGTTGGTGTTTCTCAAAGCGTGGTTTCCCAGGATTTCCCATTTGCCCCTTCTCCCATTGTCTCTAGACCTCATTCCGATTGAGCACATGTGGGATACATTGCAGAGAAGGTTTTTTGATTACCATCCACAGCCAGTTGACCTGCAACGCTAAATGCAGCATTGCAACATCTATGTAGTGAAATTCCTAATAAAATTAGTGACAAACTTATTAGCAGTACACTTAACAGGTATTTACCATTTTGATGTTTTTCAAAATCCCTTAATTAAACTTTCTTTCAGTAAAAAACAGTAATTTCTAATAAATTTTAATGTAATTTATAATAAAAACAAAATAAAAATACTAGTGAAAGTAAATACTACAATATTGGCAATATCCCTATTCCTTTTTGAGCAGTTTAGTACTCAAAAGTGGGGTGTGCTCACTTCATCATCAGCACAACTCGCCTGTCTAGTGTCCCTTTAACCTGCTTCCACCAGCCCCATCAAGGCAGGACCAAATCCCCGTCCGAGTGGATCGAAGTCACAATAGCACAAGTGTAGCAACGTATTGAGCCGAAGCTCATGGGTTCGAATCCTGCTCGTGACACTAACTTTTTCTTCTCAACCAAGACTGTAGTTAAAAAGTTTTAGACCAGATTGAATTTATGGTTTATGGTATTGTCGTATTTAAAAATTCATTATTGTACATGTTTAAAACATAATTTTAAATAGCTAATTTTCTTTTTAGGACGATGATCCTGATGTACACACACGCCTTTTGAGTGATCCTGTTAGCAACTCAGCAAATACACAGTGTGTCAGCAGGTAAAACAAACAATTTTGCACCTCTTCTTTGGAGCAGACTAAGTAATTCAATAAATCAATTTTCACAGTTAGCATTTTTTGCAATGTAGCCACATTCTAGTAAAAATGAGTAATTAATTGGTGTTGTAGCCAAGAAAACAATTTTAATTGCTCAAAAAATAGTAATTCGTGTTCGTTTGCTCAGAACGTTTTGTACCCTGAAAAAGGGCCTAAAACATTGGTCAAATTAATATTTTTGGAGCAATTAAAGTTGTTTTCTTGGCCGTAACACCCACCAATCACTTGTTTGTATATAATCACAGCCATTAACCATGAATATATTAATTGTTTTTGCAATAGGATGTAGGCTGGCAAACAATAAAAACATTAACTTGTATTAGAAAAGACTCACTTTGAGTTTGTGTGTTCATATGCATACATGTGAATAAATCATTTATAGACTTTTTACTGTGTGAATAATGGTGTTCCACAGATTTTTTTTTCTAATTGTATTATTTTTATCTCATATTATTATTTTGGTTTTACTTTTGTAGCGACGATCAGTTGGCGCAATATCAAAATTATCTACCAAAGAAAGCAAATGAGCAGTCAGTGTTAAATAAAATACTGCAAACAACTGCCCAGTAAGTATTATGGTTTAAAATAATGACACTGTCTTAGCAAAATGTCCTTTTTCCCGTTTGTTCGTTTTGGCTTGATTATTTTTTCTGTTTGTGTGTTAATACGTTAGTGTGAATTATTCTCTCAGAATCAATTACTGATGTTCTTTCTTTTATATTAAAAAAAAAATGTTTGTAGGTCAGTACACATTCCAAAATATGTGGCAAAGTTGCACTACTTTTTTCTTCTGCTGCCTTGATTACTTTGCTTTGTTTCCCCTTGCCTTACAAGTTTTTTCTAAAGTATGTTCCAGAAATATCCTTTTTATACGACATTTCTTTTTTTTTATGACAAGAAAAATTTAGTTCTTTCAAGTTGTTTAAAATTAGCTTTTATTTATGTACCGAATTGACATCTCAGAAATGTTTAATTATTATCTTGAGTTAACTCGGGAAGTAAAAAAATACAACTTTTGCAATAAATCAATTAAACCATTTATTATTATTGCAAATGTAAAAAACATAACATAACGTACCAGTAAATTGCCACCTGACATCGGGGCAGAAGTATTGCTATACTTCTCAGTAAAACGGTCTCATTTTTTACTACGTACTGCGCATATCCTTGTAGGATTGGCTACCAGATTCAGAAATATTTTCATAATCTGAATCACTTTTGCAATCACTACGAGCATCACCCATTTAAAAATAAAGCAAAACTCTCACGTACAGCACAAAATAAGCACAAAAAATGATTACATAAAAACATTCCTTTAGTTACTAGTAGTAAAAAATTGCTAATATCTACTGGCGGTACTGAAAAAGCTGCACGTGTAATTGTGAAGAACTACAATGAATATGTTTTTATGGTTTTGCTGTCATAACCAATACCACACCTCTACACATAGAGGCTAAGGTCAGAGCACTAATCAGCTGCTACAGATTAATTAGCGAAGGCAGCTGGAACCATAAGGGTAATAAGGTCAATCGAAAATCATACAATTATTGAGTAAGGTTAACGGCCAACTATTAAGTGTTAGCGATAAAAAGGTTAAAAACCCTTCAGGGAAAAAGTACTTTCAGGTAGTTCCTCCTTGTGAATACAACTATAGTGTGGATGAGGACCATCGTAACATAGACTGCTATACAGATGGGTCACTTATCAAAGGTAAAGGAAGCGGTGCTGGAATCCATATACCTAAATTAGGTATCAGCATCTCCTCCCCTCTTGGCAAAAACACCTTCGTTTTCAGGCAGAAATCTGGGCCATTAAAGTGTATTGTAGAACACGTATGGAAAATAAAATCAAGGGAAAAGATATTAGAATTTTTTCTGACAGTCAGGCCAGTCTTAGGTCATTACAAAAAGATTTATCAACATCTAGACTGGTGGAGGAAACTGGTGATCTTATCAATAGGATCACTTCCAGGTATGAGAATAGGGTAACCCTTATTTGGATACCAGCACATAAAGGACACTATGGCAATGAAGAGGCGGATAGCCTGGCCAAAGAAGGCTCAAATACTGCGTTTGTCGGGCCACAACCGGTATTACCTCACTCTATAAGCACAGTGAAAGAGAGTATCAAAAACTGCTGGGGTATGAAACAATTCCTTAGGGAATGGAATTTGTCCCCCGGACACAGGCAATCGAAGGAGTTTGTTAAGGAGATCAAACCAGTAGAATCGAAATGGCTATTCTCTAACTCAAGGAAGGGAATTAGGAGGCTGATACGTATACGGCCGACGGGCCACTGCCCACTGAGAAGACACCTCTCCGTAATGGGTATTCTACCAGATCACTTTTGCCGTTTTTCGAAATAAAAGAAGAAACGGCAAGGCACTACCTCGCACAGTGCGATAGGTACGCTAGGTTTAGATTCGAGACTTTTGAAGGAGAGGACATCACCAAATCACTCCCCGAGATTAAATGGTCCAAAATCTTGGGGTTTGTGAACAAGTCCAAGAGGTTTATGCAGGACACGTGAGCCGACCAAATCCCGCACATTTTAGGGATGGGGTACGAGTCTACCCAGGCATTTAACCCCTCGGGTCTTTGTCGCCCACCCTGCATATGGTTGTGCTGAAAGTGTTTAAAGAAAACAAAATTTAGAAATTCAATTTCCCCTACCCTGAAACTCGCAACCACACTCCGGCTCCCCCTGGAACATAGGTCAACATTTGCAATGTTGTGCAACATTGTATCAGTGAATACCATTTCGATGGGACTCAAAATCTTGTATCACGTATATCTGTAATACACTCCAGATACAAGGGGACATGGTACGGGGCTGAATCTCAACACTCCTGATTCAAAGGCGATTCAGCTCCAAACAATGACGCGTAACTTTGAGTTCAAGTATCTTTGACATTAATGGACAAGCCACACTTTATTCTGTGGCACCAACTGTTCGCACTCTACCAATAAGTGTTTTACTGTTATTTTGGTGCCGCACAAGGAGCATATCCGTGGCCTTGTTTAAGCCTGGTGTGGCCAATTTGTATGTTGTGCATGTTTTACATGGCCCACAGTTTTATCTATTTTCACTTCTTTGATAAATATTAAAACAGAAATTGCATGCATTTTTACAAAGGACACTTTTAAATTGTATAATTGCAACTTTTTAAATGAAAACATTTTGTTCCAAATCTTAGGAATGTTATTGATGTTGCGGCTCTTGGTCCTCATAATATTGAACAAAATGAATATCTAGAAAGAAGAAATCAATACAGCTCTAAATTAAACCATCTTGCAAGTACTGCACGGCAACCTTCTATAAACCCACAAGGGTTATTGGTCGACATACCAGTTCCTGAGAAAATATTATCAGGAACACCCATTTCTGATTTAGATTTTAAATTGGTAAGTAAATATATTATTGAACATTTCATATAACTATGCAACATATTTATTGTTAAGGGTATTTTGATAAAACTTTTTTTTTTTAGATCAAAAGGGCTTCTCACAAATTTAAAGTTGCTTTAGGTGAATTAAAAGTCAAACAGACAGAAGATTTAATCGTTCCTTTCCATATTGGCACAATGTAAATGAATATTTTTGTATGTAATCTTTGTTTTGTAAACTGTAACAATATTTATATTCTTATTGTATTACTTTGGAATATGTTATTTTATTTAGTGTACGTCTCAAGAATAATGACTTGAAAATAAATACTTCGAATTTGACACTAGTACAGTGTGAATTGCTCATCATCAGTTTTCGAGGTTTTATTTACCCTCCTTTTTGTTAAATAGTAAAGATTTTAGATTTCAAAATAATCTATTGCAATCATTGAATTGGAAAGTACTGAATACACAGTGTCAATCTCTCAGTTGGAATTGGCCATGTCCGAATCTTCCAGTATTAATTAATTTATTGTAATATTCCTGATGTATTTTTTGTTAGTTTATAAACTAACGATGAAATTTGAAATTTTATATGCATTGACTTACATTGTGACAATTAGATTTCATTTTATACAGTATATAATATTTTAGTCAAAACTGGTAAGAACGTTGATTTAACTTTAATGTTGGCAATGGCACACCTAGGCAAGGCTGGTGCTTATTTTTGTTTTTTAAATTAACTGAAGCACATTTCAATAAAGATGTTCTCTAAAGCCTTTTGTATTACTGAACAATTAATGTTGCATATTTGAAAAATACATTCTAGTAAAAGGGCAACCAAAGTTTCCTGGCATCACATTTAATTACTAATCTATTATGGAAATGTACAATTTTTGAAAATCTCATTTATACTAGATTTACATACAAAATATTCAATTAGTTGTAATTATATTGTCGCATTTAGATAATCCTTGTGAAGTGTTATGTTGTTAAAATCGTATTTCTATCAAATAATAATATATAAGAATAAAAATATAAGAAACAACCTCATAAAAAAATATGAAGTTAAATTTTTGTACCAAGATTTTGTAAAGACATATATTGACTAATTTTGAACTGTTAGTATTGTATTTAACTTTTGCTTCTTTTGTGTTAACATTTGTAACATTTAATTACGCATTGTGTTGTTTTGTATATACAATTTCAAAAGTATATTTTTTTGTTATATTAATATCCAAATTATGTCCATTATTAACGGTAATTGTAAATGGTAGCACCATGAGGCACAGTATAAGTACTAAGAAAGAAACGATTTATGCTCTAGGAGACATTCACCTTAAGAGCAACAAAAGAAATTTACAACTTTACTAACGGTTACAGAAGGTTGTATAAAGAATGTGCATAATCATGGATATTAAAATAAAATAAAATAGAGAAAAAGGATTGAAAAGTTAATAAAGAAAAATTAAAGAGAAAATCTGTGCATTTGATTTCAGTCTTAATTTTATTGGAAAAAGATAGTAATGGTTTAAAAAAAAAAAATAATGGCGATTTACCATTAAGGGCAATTTGTTGAAATTTTAGCATGCTTTAATGATAGTGGAGTTTTGAAAAAAAAAAAAAATGAATTTCACGGTATAAAGGTTAGTAGGATTTGAACAAGTGGAACAACTTACTTGAGCAGGCGATACAGGCCTATGTGGACCTCATCCTTTGCCATAATTTGCTTGCCGCTAGAACAGTCTTTTACCATCTTTCTCTAGAGAACAATTTTCATCGTCCTTAAATCTTTTTCAACATCATCCTTTCATCTGATATTCAGTCTATCCTTTCTTCTGATTCCTTCCACCTTTTCTATATATACTATAATTTGTGACCTCTCCTCTGACCTTTCTATACATCAGAACTATTTCATCGTCTATGCCTTAGTAATCTTGGTTGTTCCTGAATATCTATTATTTCCCTATTATTTTTTCAACAAATTTTTACTTTTACACACTACTATTTTTAAGGGCTATGTTTCAGCACCATAGATTACCACTGTGCAAATTTATATTTTATATAGTTGCATCTTTGTCCCATCGCTGTAACATAGGATTCATAGGAATGGTGATGGATAAGCAAACTGAATGAACTATTGGGCTAAGAGTTATCAATGTTGTAAAGCGTCTACATCAAAACCCAAACAATGTGTCAGATGATAATGTTGCATGAGGGTTGTACGTCTGCTGGCAGGCTGCTGAAATCAATGCCCTCCATGGGGAGAATTGTTTAGAAAATTCTAGTGAACACTTTAAAATTTACAAAGAACTTAGACATAACATGGTATTTTTTAACTTACAGAAATGTAACTATAAATATCTAGCCCTGGCAGAGCTCTGTTGTTTTGTTTTAAATTTGTTTTGAGGGATTACATTTGAAGTCAGCATTATGGATTGAGAGAGACTCAAGAAAGTGTAATCTTCGAAATTCGCATGCTGTTGAGGACATATTTCACATCATGGCCAAATGTTTAATATTGAATGAAATACATTTTTCATATTTTGGTTCACTTGTGTTGGAAAGAAAAAAATTCCTGCGAACACTGAATGGATTACTCATACCCTGGTGTGGTATATCCAGAGGAGGTAACCCAAGGCCCAACCCACAACCTGTAAGGGCCAGGTCATTTGATTTCAGGGTTACGTTCCCTGTTTAACCACAGCTATAGTTTTTTAATCTAACCTTGGTTTCATTTTGGAACACCTCCTAGTGTTTGAGGTCCTTCTCGAAATCATATAAGACAGCATGTAACAGTACTTCCTTGGCCATATCACAGTAAGAAGAAGAAGAAAATAATTTATCTGGGACTCTGGGCCCCCTTGAATAACAAGAAAGTACACCAGTTAACCATTCTCGGTGTTAAATTGGAGGGGCAGGAGGTAATTAAAGATGGACTTTGAGGTGGAAAGGGTTGATGCATGGCAAGTGGAATGAGGGAGGGAATTCCAGAGGTTGTAAAAATGGATAAGGAAGGAGTGACTAAAAGCAGTGAATTTGTGAGGAGTAGAGACAGAAGGGCAGGAACAAGTTGGAACAACAAAACAGTTCATGATTCTCTTGAGTTTGTTAACGAGCTCCCTGGTGAATCCAAAGTAGACCAAAGAGCCATAATCAAAATTGGAAAACACAAGAGGAGACCAGGAGATTGCGGGTGCTGGTTAGTTAGAGTTGGCTTGCATGACCGAACTGGCATAGGGTGGAGAAGCAGCAGCGGGAAATGTGGGGTATCCACAGTATATGGTAAAGTATTGTCAAAAGTCTTTGCAAAATTTTAATTGGAGTACCCGCACCTCTAAGTATCTGCGGTTGACACCTGCTCATGGGCCAAAACTCGCACAGGTGCCTTTTATACAGATAAAGGTTGCTTGATGTGACCCATAGAAGCTTGTCATGCCTTGGCTCTTTACAGAGAGCATGCTGCCGAATTTAAGAATGGTTCTCGACCATGGTAGAGAGTTTTTGGGTTCCCTGTTCTGCTTTTTGGAGGACATCAGAGGGTTTTCTATTGTATCTAGTTATGTTGTATTAGGTGTTTTGTTTGAGTGCGTGTTTTTAGAGTAAGTGGTGAGGGGCGATAGTGAAATAAAGTGTCACCATTGACCCCCCAGAGTGTGTCAATGGCAGCATATCTATAAAAGTACCCCCATCTACGTACCCTTTTTTTTTTTATTATTATTATTAAATGGCCTTCAACCACTATGGGTCATTTAGGCCAACGACCCTAATTTATATTATATTATTAATAACATGTGTAGGTGGATGTTGAAATATGCATTACTCCACCGACTAATCACAATGAGTGTAATGCATGAATTTATTTATTTGTGCAACTTATCTAATTTAATTAGTATTAGGCTTGATTAGAGTTTGCATGCACAAAGGGCTGAAATGACCTAGCTGTCGACAGCCCCCATCGGAACCTAATCCTGTTGGATGGCAAGCAACGATTTCCTGGGCACTGCTTAAGGGGGATTCTAGCAACTCAGCCATATAACTAGGTGGGTGAACTCCCTGATATATAGACACTAGGGTCAGCAAATGGGGAGTGACAACCCTTCAGGGTGAAAGAACACTATCATTTGCACCCTGTTATTTACTGGTTGAAAACAATACACTATGGGCACCTTAGATGCAGGACAAAGAAATGTTCCAGTTCTAAAAGGACAGTAAGATTTCTGACTATATTTTTTTATCTTGAGACTGCAAGTTTCCACTTAGTAGGTAAAATTGATTTCTATAAAGAATAGTATAATGTGCAAAGAAAAATAGATTTTCGTTATAGTTATCTGTAATGGGTTTAAAAAAGATCAACTGGTGGGAGAATAGAGGCTTGCGTGAATATGTGTTTTCACGCAAGTATTTAATTCATCTAATACACATGAAAATGTATTACTGCTTAATTTTTAATAAAATTTAAATAACAATTTTTATAACCATAGCCTTAATTTGCTATATGCTGAGAGTACTGATTTATGTAAGCTCAAATATGCATAAAAATGTACAAAGACACATGTACAGAGTTGAGCCTATCACTTCTCGCAGACACCAGCAACCATTTGTTGAGATTAAATTATTGTAATTACACACTTTTTGAGTTATATATATAAAATAAACAAAAACACAGTCATTAATAAAAATTGTATTTTACAATTATATACATATTTTTTTTACAGAATTAGCATTAGCTGACATATAGTAAGTATATTGAGCAAAATATTATGTTCAATCACTTGTAAAAATGTATTTATAAGTTATTTATTTAAATTTTATTTTTAACACAGAACTATTTTTTAAATAGTCTTTGATGAAAATGAAAAAAGAAACTTTTATGACTAATTATAGTTAGGTCAACACATTTTTTAACCAAAGGTATAGCAAACTTCTCACTGATTTCAGACGTTTAAAAAGTTTCCTTAATTTTGTTTAACAAGTTTTCCCTCCATTTTATTAAATTATAGTATGTATGTACCTTCATCAAAATAATTAACTCTATTAAAATATTTTATGCCATTAAGATACTATGAATGATCGCTGATTATTGGGTTGACTTTTGACAATTTTAAATATTTTTCCTTATACTTAAAACAAAATATTAAGTAACACTAATTAAGTACTGAACAATTAACATTTTGTTTAGCAATTCTAACAATTACAGTACCCAAGTCTTTTTATTTAATAAAATATTAAACTACTTAACACAAGATGTATAAAAATATAACATTACACACAATTTTGTTAAAAATTCAGGAGCTACGGATGGTAAATGGAGATTGGATTAGGCTTGGCATTGTAACTGTGCAAGCATTTTCAAGCTATGATAAAAACGCTAAATGGAGAGATTTTGTCATATCTAGTCTACACCATAAAATTTTCATTCAAAAGGCACTATTTGGCAAATTTAACCAAAAGTACTATCTTTAAAGTTTTTTGTAGCCTCAACTATTTCAGCAAGAGGTTTCAAACAAAAAAAACCTTTGGCTAAAACAAATATAGTCAAAACGTTGCAATAGTGTGTATTTTAAAAAAGACATTATTTATTGTTGTTTTGTTTTAAATTCAGCCCACAACTTTTTTTTTTCATACGTAAGTTTGACAATTTACGTGTGTGATGTAGAATTGATTTATTACCTAGCTGTATGAAAGATGGCTCAAATGATTCTCCAACTTCTCAGTGTATATTACATTTAAACGATACGGATAGGAAAAGACTGGACCTTTTGAATATCCCCAACTGAAGAATATTAAATTGACGTATCACAAAATTTTGAATGTATAATACATTATGACTATGTACATCCTCCTTTAATTAATATAGGTAAACATCTGCCAATATGAACAATTTTAACCATATTTTCTATTTAGAAAAAGTAATATATATTCTAAAAAATAAAGAACTATTACACTTCCAAACAATAAAACAGTAATATATCTTTTTTTTATTATAATGATGTAATTGTTATATAATGTTAAAGATCTCAAGAAATTCAGGGGACATGACAATCCGCACATACACTAACGCAGTCTTGAAGTTGTACTCACTCATCCTTTTTATCACTTAAACAGGAATATTTTATTTATGTTTATTGAGCATTTGAGACAAAAGCGGTAAGTAAAACAAGAATTTACTGCATTAGCAAACTACAAATGGTGTTGTTGAGTTGCATAGTTGCATTATTGTTATACACACACAGTAGTTAATGAAATAAACCATACCTTTTTTATGGGGAAAAAGTGTGAGGGTACAAACAAAAAAGATAGTACATTTGTATGTGTAGTGAGTTAGGTTTATAACAATTGGCTGCCGATTTAGACTTGTTGAATTAGATTCTGAAACAATATTTTTTGAAATCTCAAAATATATTATGGAATTTCTATATCTCTTATTGTAATTCATCACCTGGGTGATCAAGTTGATTTTGAAATGCCTTTTTCATATATCATGATTATTTGAACTGACTTATGTTACCTTATTAAAAATTATATAAAAAAATCAAGACTACATACGTTCATACTAGGTGATTTTATATGGGTAAATGAAGGCACTTGTTTAGAATTTTAATAAAAATTTAATAATTTGGTCAGATTCAATTTTAGGAATCCAAAATCATAAAGACCAATTTGTCAACATTATTGGGATTTTTTAAATTTATTCGATTTTTTTATTTATTAGGAAAGGTCAATTAAAATTATGAGCATGAAAATAACAGTAAATAAACTTTACTAATCATAAACGTTAAAATTCGGTAATATCTTCAATATTTCAAATTAAATATTGTAAACTGCTAACAGCTTACAATTAAAACATAGTGCAAATTAAGGAATTGACAAGCATTTAATTAGATATTGGTTTTGGTCGATTTCACATTCAGTTAGGTTTTTATTTATTTTTTCTTTTGTCAGGTTAATTCATTATGGTAATAGTTAATGGTTTTATAATTGTATTTGCATTTTGTGATAAATCTGTCAATTCTGTTAGGTTTCTTTGCTTGTAAGTTAAATTTAATTTGAAAGTATATAAACATAAATAATGAAAGCCCAGTCTACAATAAACTTTATCAATTTTATCGATACAAATTCTGTTGCAGCTATGTATATCCCTTAAGAAACAGATTTTCTAGGTTAAATAAATAAAACATTTTTCACTCACTGACTATTCGACCTCGTCCACACAATATTTTGCATGTGTGTTACTCTCAAATCAAATTCAAAACTTGCAGAAAGCCAACATACACACATCATAATTACTATTTTCAATTCAACATGCTTTAATACAACTGTTTTGATAACATAAACCTTCGACAATATATGTGAAAATTATTGAGCTGCCAGAGACTTTTTTAAAATATAAATTACTTGAATTACTTGGTTTATAAATACAGTGTTTAGCTTTCCAGTATAATTTCTTATTTTTTTTTTAATGTGAAATTTCACATCCCAGGAAGACAAACCTTCAGTATATCTACATAAATACAGCTTCTTTTTTAGTCCTAAAACATTACAATGTACAAATTAAAGCAAAGTGAGCATATCATTATTAAGAATAATTTTAGTCAACAAATGAAAGAGCTATTAATTAGTCAAATGTACAAGTACAGCACATTGTTATATTTTTAATAAAGGTGTATGTAATTAATATTAATTAATTTTTCAGCCAAAGGCAATACCTTCTTCACACAAAAAGCGATTTTTAAATTAGTAATTTAAAACAATGTTAAGTTAAGGGTAATTCAGAGTAAAAGTACAAAACTTCATCACCAGCCCCGAATAGGTTAAAATGAGTGAATCATTAATGTTGCGCATGTAGTATAATTTAAAAAAAAAAATTAAAGAAATAACTAATAAAAGATGTACCATTTTTTTAGTAGAAGAATTTGCAAGAAGCTAAATATTACTTGATTGTAAAACAATATAAAAAAGTAGGCAATGATATACTCATATCTATTTCAATAAAAATTGTAATAAAAAGAACTGTCTAGACAAAGACAAAAACTTGCTTTACATAGTTTTCACAGTGTTCTTTTATTTTTATTTTTTTACACCTCTCTACTTTAACCGTAAAACAAATTATGAATAATTAATCCCGATAACCAAGCTAATAAGACTATCTTACTTGAAATGCTTGACGAGGTTGTGACGAACCGAAAGGGTTTGGAAAGCAACTTGAATCTGGGCGATGAGGAGTATTGGCATCACCAAATGTATTCAAATTAGACAGCTGTTTTGCAAGTTCTGTTGCTTCATTTTCCATCACATACATAATATACCAAATTATGTCTGAAACAAAATAAAGAAACATAATAAGACTAACTGTAATGTTTTTAACAGTACAGTTCTAACTAGTCATACATAAGCAATTATTGTGTTGCTGACGAAAACATCCAAATACTTAATGCTCGAAGTTTTTAAAAATTAAAAGGACATGAAACTTCTGTTGATCAATGTGCAATAAAATGCTTGGGGGTTTTCCATTCAAAGCTGACTATTGAGAGAGTGAGAGTGAGAGAGAGTTATGAGAGAAGAGAAGAGAGAAGAGAAAGAGAGAGAGAGAGAGAGAGAGAGAGAGAGAGAAGAGAGAGAGAGAGAGAGAGAGAGAGAGAAAAAGAGAGAAAGAGAGAAAGAGTGAGAGAGGAAATTTTTTCTCACTAGCTTAGATTTATTACCTGTTCATAGTTCAAACTGTCCAATGGATGTCCATGTACTTGCAAACTGCAATCTTACATCATAAGCCTATCCTACCCATAAAAAAATTAATTATGTTTTGCATCATTAGAAGTTCCACAGAGAAATCCTTCTTATTTATTATACGGTGAATTTTGCCCTGTCTGAATCTCAGGGAATCTGACTCGTCCAGAAAGATCATCCTCACCTGATTAATAACAGGCCATGCGAGAATGACACCCGGGCACTTACTTTTGGGCTAAAGGCCACATATATATTCAGCATGTAGAGAAAAGTTGCTCGATGTGTCCCACTTAATTGAGGGATTCCTTGGCTCCATACAGAAAAATGTGTACAAATGCCACCTAATAAGAGAATTGTGCTAGAGCATGGCAGCATGTATTTGGGCTCCCTGATCCAATTCTTGGAGGAAGTAGTGTTGTTTTATTGTATATTATAATACATCTTTGTGTTGCCTAGTGTGTGTTGAGAGTGAATGTATTTATTAACGTGATAAGTAGTGTGAGAGGGCCGATGGCAAAATATTGAGTATTTCATCGATTATCAATAAGCTCATTTATATATTGGAGAATGATGGAGGAATATCAATCGAAGAATCTATCAAAAATATAAAAGATAAATGTGACGCAATGGATTGTGTTGATAGATTAATTTTAAATTGTTCAAAATCACTAGCCATCTCTAAAAAAATAAGCTATTTATCGTATAATGTAACTTTGTTGTTTTATGTTAGTATTTATTTTATTTCTAGCTACAATCCTCTGACTCTTAAAATATGAGGTTAAAATAAATGGATAATTTTCTAATTGTGTTAATAAAATAACTAATTAAAATCACATGAACATAGTCAGATAGTCAGATTGAAGGTATGATTTATGAGTTGGTTATCAGCAGACACGGATGTGTATGAATGAGGGTTTTAAAACTGCAAAACCTTTCCTATGGACTGTGAACTAACTAATGCAAGGTTGATTGTATTGTATTTCAAAACACATGCACACACACACAGTTATTAAACTAAGCATGAATGGAACCCTAACACATCTAACTTTTATTATTTCAAACTAGAAGTATGTTACTGTATTGTAATATAATTAAAAAACTTACCACCAAAATAAGTTCCAGTTGGTGTTGTCAATCGCCATTTACTTTTATAAATGCCTGGCATACATGGAGAAATAAAGTTTACAACAACTGAAGTAGAATCATTTGGTTTCAAAGCAGGAACAAAGATTCTTTTTTCATTGCCCATACAATCACCACCACAGAACTCAAGGTAACAACCGTGGGGCCATGATTCGTCACCATTGTTCATAATTTGCCAAAACTCACTAACTCTATAAAAATTAATATAAAACAACATTACTAACACATAATAGAAATTTTACTTAACATTGTATAATTACAATTTTTAGGTGTGTACCCCATGTACTTAGGGGTACAAGTAAGTTTTAAAGGATTTTTTATGAAAATTTAACCATTTCTCCTTTAATGCTTAGCTCAAACACACTAATTGTAGTTGGTAGCGATCCCCCATGATGATTTCATTCGGTTTTAACAGCCCTTACTGGACTACACCCAGCTGATCCCGCCAAATACAGAGCATGAGTTTTGATCCACGAAATTTGACCATCAATGTTGATGCATGGCCAGGCTTGCCACAAGATTTGTTGTGCTTTGGATTAACATAATGAATCCACTTTACATCACCAGTTGTGATTCGATGTAAAAAAACCAAACAAAAAAACCTTCTCTTTTGGCCTTTAGAGCAGCTGTTTGCAAGTGAAAAATTTCCTTTCCACATCTTTTGCTTTAATTTGTATGGCCCCCTATTTCCTTGTTTTTTTACCATTCCCACGGCAATGAGGCATAATGAAAATGCGTGAAGAGTCTCTCCCAAAGTCTTCGTCAAGTTCTTGCATTTGTCACAATCTACATTCAACAATACCCCAAATTCTGCATATTCAAATATTTCTGACCTTCCATCAAAAAATATATAAATATCCTCCATGTTACAATCACCTCTTTCCACTGTCTCAACCAGTTCTTACAATTTGAAATAGATAGAGCATGGTCCCCACTTTCTTCAGTGTTTTCTTTAAATGAAAGCAGAAAAGTAAAGCTGGGTCCTACAAATTGCATTTCAATGGCACAAAATTCAACATATTTGGAGTTCAAAAAAACTTCGACAAAATGAAATGTACTGAAAACTAAAGATGATGCTTTACCATGAAAGTGATTAGGTTATGTCAGATGTGATTTAATACTAGTAATGCTTCAACTTTAAAACTTACTTGTACCCCAATAAATTAAGTATGGGTAATTTGTCTACTTTAAAGGATACTTAAAGGAGCTCACATATTATTTTTTTTAACAAGGGTTTGCAACAGCGGAGGTCATATAAACCCTCAGGGTGCCAGTGTTTTTGAAAAAAAGCCCATTTGTAAGTATGTCGGGTTCCAATGCAGGATTCAAACCTGAGACCTTTACCTTACAGTGATGAACACCATGTCAATGCCTAAGCTTTTGCGGCCATCGATGCCCCTTAATAACATTAACTCAGCTTAGATTTTTCAATTTAGTTCACTTTACTTTCATATCTAAATGTGTTAATGATACGATAGTGGCACTAAACTAAGTGCTAATTGTGATGTCAGAAATTTATCCCAGATAGAAAAAAATAAATAATGTCATTTATAAAGGAATTTCATAAATGATATATTGGAAAGGGGGCCATGCATTCGCACCTGACATACTCACGAATGGTTTTTTTTCTCACTTGTAGTTGAAATACCTTTGTAAACAAAATCACACTGCAAAGCATGGTGACATGCCGAAACTCATCTGACAGATCAAACCAGAGAAAATAAGGTGCATACATGTTCAGAGGGAAACCCAGCTACATTTACATGTTAGTATAAACAAATTATATTACTGGTATACCATTGGACTTACTGTGTTGATGGTGCCACTTTTGTGAAATCGTCCTCCAGCGTTTGCTTCAAAAATGACATTGAAGGCAATTTTGTTGAACTCACAAACAAATCAAAATAAGAGCCTACAGCTGCTTGTAAGTTCCTGTAAAAAAAACCACATTAAGTTAATAGACATTACACTGGAGATGGCACAAAATGTTTGAATAATTAAAAAAAAAAAACTGCGAGTGTACATGGACCTAATAAGTAACTTAGAGCCAGTTCAACAAATTAAGTGACAAACATTTATTGATATTCATTTTCTGTGATTGTTTTATTAATTCAATTTTTTCATAGTTCATGTTCATTTATAACATTCTTATTACATAATTCTAATAGATTTTTGTTAAATTGAGTAATTGAGCAACAATCTGCAAGAAGTACTATAAGTGACATAGATAATGAAATAAACAACAGAAAAGGGGAAAAAATGAAAAGACTTGAGTGAAGAAAATATCCTGTGATAGCAATCTTAAAACAGAAATCATCACTTAATCACTCGCACTCACTGAGTCTCAGGCCACTATCTTTCTATGCAATGATGAAGAGAACAGGAGAAAAGGTGTTGTTCATGGGTATTCGAGTGGGATTGGAGGTTAGTTTGGAATTTTTGGTAGCTGGATTTTACAATTTCATTTAAAAAGGGAACATTTAGATCATAATGGATGGTGCTATTGGAAACAGAAAACCAGTCATTGATAATAGATGTACGGTTTGGATTCTGTGGAGAGTGCAAGGTTAGGTTGAACACCATAGTTCCATGCCATATGTCCATATTGGTTTTAGTATTGAGGTATGAGTATTTTCTTGTCAAGGGAGAGTTTAGATCTGTTGTCAAGTAGTGTTTTAAGTAATATGTATCGTTGGTTCACTTCTATCCTTTTAAGGATATTCCAGGTGAGTCATTTGCCTAAATACAGCCCTAAGTAGCGATTGACATTTTTGGTGGGATGGGGGGGAAGTATAATAAATTGGAGATAATGAAAGGATTGGAGATATGATAGAGTGTTGCGATGGAGGATGAAGGTTACGTTTTGAGACTTTTGGTGGTTAGTTTGATTAGCTATTTTTGAGCCATTCTTCAAATATAGGTGCCTGGAGGGTTCAGTCAGCTATAATGGGGTCGGAATTATAGGAAAGAATGGCAGTGTCATCAGGATATGTTAGGATGATGGTGTCCGGATGGAAAGGGATATCAGCAGTACATACAGAGTACCGTAGCAGGTCGAAGATTCTACCTGAGGGATGCCCGTGTCCAGCCGGTACAAAGGAGTGTGAGACTATTTGACCCATACTCTAAAGTACCTGTTGGCCAGGTAGGATCAAAGGATGAAGAAGTGTGTAGAGGCCTTCACTTTTCAGGGCACATCCAGACTCAATCAAAAGCCTGTTCAACATTGAGAAAGACTCCCGAGCATCATTCTATCTTTTTTAGGCACTAAATCACTCTTTCTTCACAAGAGAGGATGCAATGATGTCCACAATAAGCCCAATTTTCAATAAATTTACTGATTTAAATAAGCTCAATTCTTCACACAAATATACATACATACAAACTTGTACAAGGCTGAACCTATCACTTCTAGCAGTCTGATGGCAATTCTAGCTTTTGAGTAATTTACAATAAATTTCCGGCAGGCCTCGAGAATCACCCACACCAGGTGTTGGCGGTTCAACGTCTGATCTTTCTTATCTGTCCAGCAGCCAACTAGGCTCCAGAGTCTATCAACAACTAGGTCATTTCAGTCCCCAACAACATCAGATCTTAAATCCAATCCCATTCACACTCTAAATCATTATTAAATACATTATTTCCTATTTACATACCATTCACTCAACTAAGGTGGTGGCGTACTCTATATTTCTCCATTTTTACAGCTATTATATAGCAACCTAGAGGGTCGATGAGGTACTCAATATTCGACCGTAGGTCCTCTCGTCCTACACATTAACGTTAATAAATACTTTTTTATGTAAGGTTTTTGGTTGAAATGAAAAAGTTAATGCCACGAGCGGGATTCGAACCCATGACCTTCAGCTAAATGTGCTGCTGCTCTCAATTGAAAGAAGTAATTTGGTCAATAGACCGCTAAATATAATGGAGTTAATAAATACATTCAGTATCAATAGACATGAAGGGGTACGAAGCACTCCTATGCATCTCTAATAGCCTCTAATACTCAACTCCGACTTTCTTTCTTCATGAAAGGTTAATCAAACAGGCAGAAAGAGGTGTACAAATGAACAGGAGCTAGACCTATCACCTCCTAAACCCTACATCCCACACGTTACTCCTCTTCCTGTACCAATCTTAATCCTAATCTCACATTCCAGCCCCAATTTAAGGTGTTATGCGACCCATACTGATGGATGGTTGATACAGGGGTAACTGTATCAATAACTGGACCTCAAGGGTACCAGGTGATCCCCTTGAGTGATCATCCTTACACCAGAGAGAGAGAGCTCCTTTGGTGCGGACCTTTAGGTCCCTCATACTCGTGGGAATCACATGGATAAACCAAAAGAAAACATAAACCCAGTGGGGAGGACCCTGCAAAGGAAGATCCCAAAAGCCATATCATTCCCCCATGTCACCTTCGAATGCAAAGCAACGGCTCAACCTGGGATTTAAAGAAAACCCAGGGAATGCAATTGTAGCAGTGACAGTCAATGACCAAATACTTCTAAGAAGGATGTAGTAGAAAGCACTAAATTAGGGTACTAGATAGGCACAATAAGCGAGAAAGTTGCAGAGCGTAGGGAGCACAAACCTTGTTTGCTAGTATCCATCACCATCATCATCAATATACATGAAGAACCCCAGACAAGGTATCTATAAAGTAAAACAGTTCTCTTTCATCTAAAAATCAGTCAGGGGATCCAGATACTGTCATGCTCAAGCACAATTCTCATATTGAGTAGCATTCTTACATGATCTCTATATGGGGCCAATAAATGGCACCCTTCCATTAAGGATACCTCAGGCAACCTTTATCTACATGCTGGACAACCTCACATGGCCTATTCTTAAGCGGATGAAGATGATCCCTCTTCTACAAATCAGATCCTCCAAGGGCCACCTATTGGCAGTGCTCTTGATACAAGAGAGCTTCTCTGCAGATCCTGACATTGCCACTTTCTTTCAATTCTGTTTTTAAACGCATTTTACCGTCAGAGGGCTGGACAGTGGTGGTCCAGCATGGGAGGTTGGGACATCCCAGCATTAGCTACCCTTTCATTACTCTCCTGACCTATCTTAATTCTGTTTTTGAAAATAAGTTAACATACAGATTTCTGTTTTAAACACTTTTTTAAATATTAAATTTCATTGTTTTGTTTCTGCTAATTATGATGAATTAACCTAATGCATTTCAATCTCCCAAGACTGTATTTCACTTTTAAAACAGACAATATTGTTTTTCATGCAATTCATTGTTTTTTCTCTTAATAAAGAAAATTTCAACCGGCTTGTGATCAAACATTGTAGTCATTTCTTCTGTTTTTGAATTGTAATCAATTTAGGAATTTTTGTTATAATCAGATTGATTAAATCAAACCCATATTATAAATAGTTTGATAAGGCTAAAAGAATGCAAGTTATCGCAGAGCCTTTCGTTTTTATCACAAAATATAACTGTAACTGTATTCGTGTACATTTGGAAGCTTTCAACTCTACTTGAGGAATATTCTGAAGCAGAACTTTTCAAGATTTACTCATTACAATGTAAAACAGTCTTATTACACCAATAATTGAAAGAATTTGTAAAATTACATAGAGGTGGTCTGTGGGGTGATGAACCCATAGTCTGGTCTCTGATCAGCCCAGATTCATCTATGCTAGATGTTTATTTGGAGATCGTGAGATGCGGTCTGGTGTGACGTAGGTTTAGAAAAACATTTTTTTTTAATCGTGCCAACCCAGGCCCTGAAGATGATCTCCATAAAGATCGAAACATTGGCACGATAAAAAAAAAAAATGTTTTTCTAAACCTACGTCACACCAGACCGCATCTCACAATCTCCAAATAATCACTATTTAAGTCACTAAACACCACACATATCCTAGATATTTTGTGTCATTTGGCTTAGTGGAGGGATGAAAGGGGCATATCGAACAAAAGCTTACTGAAGATGGCAAGAAAATGAAACATGTATGACAGACTAAAACAGGATGATAGGCAGAATAAAACAATCAGGAATTTATCCAACTATATTGTTTAATTTGTTTACCAATGAAGTTTTTTCAGGTGTTTAATAGAACAGTAATTTTTAGTTAAATTGTTATTGAACTTTCAGAATAAAAGAATAATGATTGTTCGTTTAGAAATTATGGGTGTGATGATATATTGTTCATAATTTAGTCTTCTAAGCTGAAGGATAGTGATTCTTGGTCATATCACATTGGTGGGCTTCCCCTGGATGAAGTAGATGAAATAAATGACTTAGGTATCAGTTTTAATAGTAAATGCAACTTTTATGATCACTTTTCCAAGATTAGCAGTAAAGCTTTAATGAATCTTGGCTTTGTCAAAGCTTTACTTCTGAGTTCAGCAACCTCTTTGCTATTAAAATGTTATATAGGCCATTAGTACACAGCCATCTTGAGTATGCTTGTATCAACTGGAATTCATTTCTTAAAACTGAGATTAATCTGGTGGAATCTGTCGAGCGTAGGGCTACTTTTTAGCGGGCTCCAATCTTTGTCAGACAGACGACGTGTTGTTTGTGTACCAAAAAAGAATGGGAAAGAGAGGAAAAACACCTCCTTTAAGAATGGCACCATCTACTGGTACACAGGCGGATCTAGAACACAAGAAGTAAGGGGGCAGGAGTTCCTGGAACCATATTCTACACAGAAACCATGAGAAAATACACCATATCTTCCAAGCTGAGGTCCACACAATCAACAGATGTACCCAATTCAATCTGAATGAAGGGTACAAAAACAGTAATATAGCGAGCATTTTGGATAGCCAAGAAGCCATCAAAGTGCTAAGTTCAAACACCATTAGCTCAAAGATGGTGCTGAATTGCAAAACTACATTAAACAAATTAGGTATGCAAATCAAAGACAGTCTCTGTTGGGTCCCAGGAGATGTGAGAGTGGAAGGCAACAAGAAAGCGGACCTGAACCCTTCTGTGGTATATGGATTTACATTATAAATTATTACCTTAGATTCAAGGACAAAATGGAAATTAGTGAAATCACTCAATGGACACAAACAACCCAAGAATCTCCTACCTAACTTTTTAAAGAAAGAGTTAAATCCTAGCAGTATTCTTAACATGACTCTGCAAGCTAAACGGACATCTGAAGAAGGTTGGCATAACCCAACATGGTAAGTGCAGATTCGGCAAAGAATTAGAGGAGACATCACACCTATTAACAAACTGTGGTGCTACACTTGCCCGCAAGAGGAACTATGTTCATTAACGAACTAGGACTCACCGGTGTGCTATAATCACAGAATGAGGGATACGACTCCTCTTAAAGGGTGCAGGATTTTACACACCCCGATTAATACATCTACATCTACTTTTAAAAAGAAGATCTCTAATGCTTAACGTTTTTATCTGTTGTTTCTATTCTTCTTAATGTTCTAGTCTTTTGTTTTTACCATATTATTTTTATTATATATCTTCTTACTTTTATATTATTTATTTTAATTAATACTTTTGATTATGTTTTGTAAGCTTATCACTGTTTTTTTTTGTTTTTGTTTTTTGGGCCTTGCCTGGAGAGCTTATATTATAAATAATTAATTAAACAATGAGTTTTGTTATGACTAATTGTTTAAAATAAAAGATTAACATAATATTTTGTTTATTGTATGTTCGCCTAAAAGCACAAGATTATTTGGGGGGAATTTTTAATACATCAAGAATCCTAAAAATAAGTAAAAGGACCAACTTTCACCCTAATTTTGAAATTGTGTTTTCCGAGCGCGTCGATCACAAAGAAAATTTGAATTATTGTTTTTATTAGTACTATTAGTTTTTTTTTTATTTACAAATAGTTCTTCATCAAAGGATCGACGAATTTTATCGCCAATTATATTCGTACAACTGTTCTCTTTGAAAATTGGGATCATTGACGGTAAAATGGGACGACAAAAAAAAATCACTAATATAAACGAGTGATAGATTCATCCGAGAAAGGGCTAAAATATACGATTATTATAAACAAAAAAGACATTTATAGATAGATAGAGTGAGTAAGAGTGTGAGAGAGAGAGAGAGTGAGTAAGAGTGTGTGAAAGAAAGAGAGAGAGAGAGAGAGAGAGAGTGAGTAAGAGTGTGTGAAAGAAAGAGAGAAAGAGAGAGAGAGAGAGAGAGAGAGAGAGAGAGAGAGAGAGTGAGAGAGAGTAAGAGAGAAAGTGAGAACGAGGAAACAAAAACACAAAATTCTGAATAGTAAAACGGAATTTAAATTCATTTTCTCACGGAATTTAAATCCTATTGCTCTACCAAACTAAAGACGAAGGCAAATGCATAATTTTTCATTATAGATATTAGTTTTTATTATTACTAAAACGCTGTTTTTAAATATAAAATAAAAATGATACTAAGAAAAAACAGAAAATCGTATGGCAGTTGTGTAATTGATAATAATGAAAAGGATATTGATAAAGGTAAGTAGATTACTTACAGTATTTCAAATGATAAAGGATAAGAGATCCATCATGGTAAATAAATTATAAAGAAAATTACCAGTTGTTCATGTCGAGATAAAATTTAGCAGTCGATGGGCTGAGATTATTTCCAACTAACACTTGAAACTGTTGAATTAATTCCTCTTTATCGGTCGTCCCCAAACAGCTGAACTGCTGGAGAAGTTGTTGATTTACCAGATCACCGCTATCCATTTTTTGTAAATTTTCTTCTACTGGATAGTGTCAAAAATAAAGCTTCACATCGGTACGAGAGAGGTTTTTAAAATAAAAATAGGAATCGAACGAGAAGACGACCCAGAACAACACACAAGATAACCGTTTTTTAACCTAATGTAATGAATGTGAAGACGGAGAGGAGGGGAGGGTCCGATTGAGGAGATCGCGGCTAACTTTCCTTGGTATCGAGAAGACTTGAACTGAGTTCTCAGTTTCTCACTTCTCAGTTTCTTGTCGAAACCTGTCCGGCCGTACTGTGGAAGAACAACCGTCAAAACAACCCATCCGGCATAGAGACGTAACAGACCGATGAGTCATGACGTTACAAAGTGGTTAACTCCAGTTCATTCTTTGTCTGATTACTTCAATCAAAAACAATTCAGGCAAATATCAAGCTGATCCATACGCCAAGTGTATTTCAGTTCTATTTATCCATTATTATTATTATTATAAAAACAATTATAAATATAAATAAAGTCAGAGGTTTATGGACCGACAAACAGCTGAGGTCATCGCCCACCCTCTTTGTAATTTCCTTCTTTTTCGGTTCTTTTGCGCATATTTTGTTTTAAATTGAAGCTATTGAGTTGTCGATGTGGTTACTGCCCCTCTGCTTTTTATTTTACTAACTTACTACGTCGATATCTGAAAATGCTCCTCTCGTTTGTACCTCAGGGTGTCGAATACTGAATAGAAACAAAATATACAAAACACATAAATACATCATCACCACAAATATAGAAATCTGGTTCCCCAGAGTATTCGATATTCCTTGTGGCTGGGTAATAAGCAACCCATTTTTTCACACTAATAAATTACATTCATTCCAATAAAATAACATATACACAACACCCGATAGAAGCGTGGTCTGGTCACCTTCATTCCCCCAGACTACACGATATTTCCCGGGGTGGGGTTGAATTCACTCCGATCTCACTAATAACTTACTTTTACTCTTCAGATGTCACACATTCACTCCAGAGTATTTTTTCTAATAAAAAAAATTAAAAAAAAAAGAGAGAGAGAGAGAGAGTGTGTGTGAGAGAGAGAGGGTGAAAGTGAGAAAAGGAAAGGGAGAGTCGATCATTCGTCATGATTGGCTTGTCCTTGTTCCCACTGCTTGTGGTTTGGCGAGCCCGGTCTGAAGTTTATCATACCTCACATGGTGGGAACGTAAGGACTCCTGTCTTATTCAAAATCCAATTTCTAACTTATTACTGGGCAATGACCAATGACAAACTCTAAACTCTAAACTGTAACTGACTCCCCATTCTACTACAAACTTTACTAACTAATAAGTAAATACTAACTAACTAGTGACTGCCCTTTCGGTGGTACCTACCGTTTTGCAAACCTCGAGGCTCGACGCGGGGCTTTCTTCCCTCTGGCTTCACCATTTGGCATTCCTTGAGCTGTCCTTTGGAGGGGATTCTCGACCGTTTTACCTATCATTCTAATCGTTCAATACAGTTAATACAATATAACATCCCTTTCTCTACACGCCGGACACACACGAGTACAAGTGTGTAAAGGATGGGATACTCTTGAGTTTCCAGAGCAAATCCAGGTGCCAGACTCGATGGAAAGCTTGTTCGACATAGAGAAAGACTTCCGAACAGCATTCTTTCTACTCAAGTGAGGAGGCGATGATGGCCACAAAAAAATATTTTCAAGAAATTTGTCGATTTATAGAAACTCAATTCTGCATACGGATGTACATACATACACACGTGCACAAGGCTGAACTTATCACCTAGCAGTCTGCCGGCCGACAATTCCAGGTTTTGTGTAATGAAAAAAAACCTGAGGGTACCTAGATACCGCTGTCTTGCCCAAGCACAATTCTCATATCGGGTGGCTTTCTTACTTGCTGTTTATATATAACCATGGAATGGTACCTTTCAAATAAGGATACTTCGACAACCTTTCACTACATGCCAGACACATATGTCAACCTTCTTGACGCCTCTTCTTCATCGCGTGAGGATGACCCCACGAGTCAGGTCCTCTGAGGGCCACTTATCTATAATGCTTTTGGTACGTGAAAGCTTCGGTGCTGATCGACGCTGCTACTTTCTTTTAATCATGTTTTTAAGGCATTTTAGCATCAATGGGCTAGATCGCTGTGGTTAAGTCCAGAGGTTGGAACGTTGTATCCTTTGCCGCCTTTTCATAACCCTCTAGAGTCTAGACACTCAACGGGTAGTTGGACCCTCCTGTATAACAGGATTTGCATTACTCTTTTGCAAATTGTAGTATACAATTGAAGTACAAGTAAAAGTACATATTTCGATATATATGTTATATACTAGTCTTCGATTGTATTTTTCTTTAGCATTTGGCATACCTATAAAACAATTATGGTGATAGTAATATCATGTTTATAATTTTTAATGACAAATCATTAAAATACCGCCTTGTAATTGAATTTTGGAAAATAATCGTTGCGTTAATGAATAAAACATATTCAGTGATGGCAGATTTGTGCAAATTCCAATAGATTAATGATTAACAATTAACGGTAAACTGATTGACGATTAATGTTGTTAATCTAACTTGCATGGCAACAGATTAAACAGTTTAATCGTGAATCTAGATTACCTGATTAATCGGATTAATCGTTAATCAAAGTTGCGATTGATTATAAATATTTAATCGTTAATCTATTTTAATGATTGTTTAATTAATTGTTCACATTACTGCACCGCAATCATTATCAGATCGTTTTGTATTAAACTATGATCTAAAAATAATGAATCTTTGTATAATAATTTACAGCTTTAATTTAATTTTTTTTTGTTTTCGATTTCTGACTATAACTTTTCAGTATCGGATTATACATGAAAACACTAAGAGAACATTATAGTGAGTTCGTATAAATATCTCAGCATTCCGATTAGCTGACTGGGCACCTTTGCCCTAGTCACGAAGAATGTCTTATCAAGGCCAAGAAAGCTTTGGGAAAAACAAAGGAAAATGCAAATCGCTAAAGTTAAGCTGTACTGCGAAGCGCAGTACATATACTAAAATTGGAACGATACAGTGAAAATTAGCATGTAATAATACTATCTGATAGTCAAAGTGTGCTTAGGTCCCTAAAATCGAATAAACGCCCTCGAAACTCATATCATACAAGACATTCGCCACTATGCCGCATTAGTTAAGGAAAAGGGAACAAACTTATATTTCGCGTGGGTTAAGGGCCACAGCTTCAATCAGTTTAATTCAAAAGTAGATAAGCTGGCAAATGCGGCGCGAACTAGTGGAAAGCTAAAACATATCACGACAGACGCGGACTTAATTGCCCATGTTAATCGAACATTGAAGCAAAGGACAGCGACCAAATAAATACCACTTAGGGCCGACATTACGCAGAAATACAACCTAAAATATCTCCCAACCATGGTTCGCACGAATTAATCGAACTCGGTACTTTTTCACTACGTTATGCAGACTTCGCCTCAGTCATAACACATTACCACCCCACAAGTACAAAATAGGAATGACAGACCAGAACGCCTGCAGCGCCGATGCTAATCGTGTCTATTTAGTATGCCCTATCTTTTCAGTAGAAAGAGATAAATTAATTGTACGAAGTCAACGAAACGTTGGCCCAAAGAAAATGTTTTCTAAACCTACATCACACAAGACCGTATCTCAAGATCTCCAAATAATCATTAACTAATACTATTGCTACAGTAACTGAATAGAGATATGGGTAGTTATTGGTATTATTTACAAGCAATAATTTCACATCTGTTTAATCTAATCACTTTATTTATCTGTTCAAATACAATTTATTTCGTTTGTTTGTAGTTACTTATTTATGTATTTAAATGTTAAGAAGATCTTGTATGTCAAATCGTTTAAAATTGTAACGATAGAGCCTGCCATCACCTTCCACTATATATATGCAATACTTACTTACTTATATAATGCAATAAACAATTTCTATTTACATGAACACACTATAGAAATGATGAATGGTGGAGTGAGTGCGGTGTTCAATCCTTTTTTAAAAAAGATTGAAAACACTATTCACTTGATTACTTAAATTTGCTTTGATGGAATTGATAGTCACTTTAAAAAAAATCAATTAATCACTTAATCTGATTAACGATTAAAGATTAATTGAATCAATCGCATTCTAGAATATCTATTAACTTTTTTAATCGTTAATAGTTTCATGTTTAATTAATTGTTAATCATGATAAAAATTTTAATCAAATAAATCCGACTCAGTGATGGATGTACTGGAAACCACACGGGTTGACGCAAAACATGGGCGGCTACATTTTCATCCGAAAAAAAGGTCGTACTAAAAAATGCAAGAAATGTCAAAAATTTGTTCACATCATAATAAATTCGACATTTTTATATGTGAGTGTTTTGAGACAGAAAAAGTGCGATGAGGTGATTAATTGCTTAGTTCGTATGAAATGCAAGCTATTTGATGGAAGGTAGGTTAAAAAAAAATCAGTTCCATGGGAAGTTTTTATGTGTAGCATAAACGGGAACAGTTTCATAAGGAGGCCTTTTTATGCAATCGAGCGGGGCCCGGCGGACCCTTCACCCTCTCGCTCCCAAGATCTTCCTTCACGTCGTCCCTCTTCCGCAATTCCGTCTCCGTCTCACTCGGTTTTCCCCGCTCGTCCCCTCTCGTTCTTTCCGAATCCGCCGGCACGGCTCTCACACTCCACCCCACCCGAAATCGTAACGGCTCCCGCCAGCCGCCGATTGGCCTCCTCCCGTCCAATGAACGCCTCGCCTCTCAGCAACGGCAGTTACGACGGGCCTTCGAACGACGTGCGACTTCTCGCCAAACCGTCCTCAGTCGCCAGCCGGCCGCGTTCTTTCGGATGCTAATAACAAACGAATACCCGTCCGCGCGTCTTCCCCTCCGTCCGTCCGCGTTCATGCCGTCTCTGTAGTTTAGCCGATATTTTAATAATTCACCAGGGTGACAGTCCAGTTCATCACTAGACTCGGTGTTTTGCAATTTCTCTTCTTTTATTTTTTTTAAATCAATTTTTAATGTCATCCTTATCGCGAAGCATGGCCACTTTTAAGATTCACCAGGACGAAGAAAACATCGCTCCTGTCGGCAAATCGAAGGCGTCGACAGCGAATTTCAACAAGCAACGCCCTGTCTTGAGTGTCATCAGCGCCAATTTGGACTCAGAGGCAGTGCAGAACAGGACTAAAAAAATCGTGAGTATATCGTTTGATTATATTTCGAATTTGGGAGAAAAGATGACGAGCGGAAATTTGTCGAGTTGTTTCTTTTCTCCGAGAGAAACGTGCTGCCTGCAGACACTTGCTTTAACACAGTTCAACCGTTGTATTTTAACATTAATTTTTGATTTTTATTAATCCGATCGCAACCCCCATCACCCCAATTTTATATATAAATAACACGAATTGACAAGTTTTTAAAAATTATTGATTTTTTCCCTTAATGTATTGCCCTTTAATTCGCTTGTTAACTAACTATATATATATATAGTTAATGACGAAGGGAAAAACTTATTTTCCTTAAATATTTATTGAAATGAACCACATTTTCATCCTTATACCTGGATAATTTTCAAAGATAAATTTATAACGGGAGAATGTGACCTACACACCTTTCGTTCGACAGTCTAGTTTGCTAAATCTCCGCACTGCGGTGGTGGCAATTTTCAATTTGTAGCACCACACCAGATTCAAGTTAAAAAACAGAACAATCATTTTTAAAAAGAAAACTTTTTTTTCAAACCGGTTATAATATGTTATAATTGAACGGTATACCAATAGTACAAACGGTATACATTTATTTATACGTTCAATATCTGCATTACATTGACTTGTAAGATTTTCCTCTTTGGTTCTACTCGGAGAGAGACCTATAATTTAGTCGTTTCCTATCGTTGTGACCCACTGATGATGGCATGAATCAGTCCTGCAGGCCAAATTGATCGGAAACGACTAAACTGCATTATATAACTGTTTAAGATTGGTTTACTATCTATTGGGACACGAAGAAAAGGTTTGAATTTCGTATTTTATCGGAAGGGGAAAAAAAAAGGGTTTGTAATTTGATCTTTATCTATTATTTTGGTCGGATGTATTTCACAATTTCAGTGTTGGGCTGGTGGGTTTTCTGTTCATATCGGTAACGACCAAATGGCATGTTCATCACAGAGAATTCATACGAGAAAACGGGATGTTAGTCGCCATCGAGCCGGTTTTTAAAGGAACAACCCTTTAACAAAGAGCTCTTTACCCTTTGTGGACGCCCTTGTCGAATAAAACCGTGCCGGAGTGAAAAACACACCTTGCCCTTCTTTTTTAGTCCCTTGTTCTACTGAAAACTACACTCACTGATGACAGCGTGGCGCTTAAGACAAGGTGGACTATCAAATATTGTTCAACGATTGCTTGATTCTCCAAGCGTTTTATTGCATTTTTCTAATATTTCATTTATATTTAAGCTTAACTTGGCATTGGAAAAGTTGTGCTTGAAAAACAAGGGAAGGTTTTTTTCTTTATAAATGAAGTTTTTAAGAAATAGGTACGGTGAAATATAATAATAGGTAAAAAGGATTAAGACAGATTTATTTTATTTTTGAACTTAATTGAGTCAACTAATTAATTATTTAGTTTTACAAGTTCAGTTTGTTCCAGTTGTTTCAAAAGGATTTGTTCGTATTTTGCAGATTGCACGGACAATTCCACAGACGACATACAAATTCGAGTTCCTCTTTTAGAAATATATCGTCAGTAAATAAAAATAAGTTTTACAATTCTTCCACCTGAGGAAGAATGAATAAACGTCGAGAAAGCGAGTCCAGTCTTCATTTTTCCAATGAAGTTGTGATATTCCATGATTTTGATTTACTTTTGATTTTTGACTTTCGCAGAGCCAGAATTTACCACAATATTTTAACATTTTTATTACAGGCTTGTTGGTGCTATTTTTGCCAGACCCCTAACTGTACACGTGTCTCATATTTTTTGACATAATAACATCCCTCAAAATTTTATTCAAAATTATTGAGAGTGCGCAGTGGGAGCTTTTTTGTAAAATCAATTTTCGGTCATTTTTACACCCAAAATACTTTTTTTTCTTGGCTCTTGGTTCCTGGGTCCCGTTAGACACACCCGTCCAATATTTTTCGATGTAATAAGCCTTGGACACGTGTCTCATATTTTTTGATGAAATAACATCTCTTAAAATTGAATTCAAATCGATTAAGAGCGCTGTGCGCAGTGGGAGCGTTTTAGTAAAATCAAGTTTTGGTCACTTTTACATTAATTTTTTTTTCTTGGTTCCTGGGTCCCGTTAGACAGACCGCCGGACACCCGTCCAATAGTTTTTGATGTAATAACATCTATTAAAATTTCATTCAAATTGAACAGTGGGACCTTTTTGTGGACGCGATTTTTGGTCATTTTTACCCCTAAATTATTTGCTTTCTTGGCTCCTGGGTTCCAATGTACAGAACCGTCGGACACTGGTCCAATATTTTTCGATGTATTAACATCCCTTAAAATTTCATTCATATTGAGAGAGCTGTAACAGTGGGAGCTTTTTTGTGAACACAATTTTTGGTCATTTTTACTCCTAATTTTTTTTTTGACTCCTGGATCCATTAGAACCCTTATCATGTGAATATTTTCACCCGTCGACCTAGTTTAAAAAAAAAAGTTTCATTGAAATCTGTGTTCCTACGACCGTAATAGCCTCCCCGTGTTAGTTGTATCAAAAATACGTTTGAACAAATATATTATGTGATTCTACAAATTACATAACTTGTTTTCCTTCATTTTGAAATATGATTATTAATTTTTAAAATGCTTATTATACACAATACTGAATTTTAAACATTAATTTGTCAGGAATAATTGATTAAGGCCAGTATTTTGTGTTCTAGTACTGTCTTTTTTTAAGGTCTAATTATTTTACCGTCTCAATTATTCAGAAATAACATTGTAAATATGTATGTTGTGTGTATCTTTTATCGATAAAGTACAAAAACATTAGACAGGACCCCTTCCAGTTTATTCAGGAAGTTCAAATAATCCTTTCCCCGTCTCTCTAATCCCAAAATCCCAAGTGAAAGATTTATCGTTACCACGGTCCTTTTCGATAAGACAATTTTTGAAAGTGTTAGGTCAATAGAAACGATTTTTTCGTTTTAATGGCACGACAAATAGATTGTCTTTGTACAATGACCCGACCAGTAAATACCCTCATAACGACAATAAATTTCTTTTGTCCCCCTTGAGATAAATAAGCTATTTATGTTAAAAAGAAAACCTAAACACTCCTTGGTTATCAAGGAATGAAGAGTTTATAACAAATAATTCTTATAACTATGATAAAATATGTGAAATTTCCTCCTGTCGTCTGTGGGTTGATGAACCTGTAGTTATAGATAGTGGTTAAAGGATAAACTTCTATGCATCTTTTTACAATTTCATTCAACATTGATCACAAATGAAATAATCGTCCCAAGCTAATCGTACAGCCAGTAAATTTTATTTTAACATCTAAGATGTGCTAATTTAATTTCTGTTGACGAGGCCTTTTCTTTAATATATTAAAATGTAGGGGAGGAGGGTAATAAAGTGTGCATTTTCTTGCATTATTAAACAAATTTAAATGGATTAAATGAAGTTATCCTCAAAATATAGGTGGTATATCGCCCGAGCCCTCTCAAAGGCGCGATGCTTTCAATTGGAATAAACGGGGTATCGAAATGAGAAGTTTGTGGTATGGGCGATCGAAGTCACGGTAGCTCAAGTGGTAGAGCAGCGGCGTATTAGCTGAAAGTCGAGGGTTCGAATCCCGTCTGCGACACATATTTTTCGTTTCGAAAAAAAATTGTGTTTCATTAATTGAGTGTATATATAATTAAGAATAATTTGATAAAAATAATAAAAGTTAGTACTAATCAATCCTTTTCATTAATGCAATAAATTGAGTACAGTATCAGTAATGTCATCTATTGTAATCGAATTAAATGGAATGAAGATTAAAAGCCAAATTGACGAGCTAACGTAATGTCCAATTTCTTTCTTTCATTCTCCTCACGCTCCCTCCCTCACTCCTCCCCCTCCCTCCTTCCCATTCTCCCATTCACTCACACCACACACTCTCTCTTTCTCACTCCCCCTCCCTCACTCCCCCTTCCCTATCTCTCTCTCTCACACCCTCTCTCTCTCTCTCCTTCACCCTCTCTCTCTCTCCCTCACCCTCTCTCCTCCACCCCTCCCCTCTCTTTTGTGCTCTAACGATAATGGAGGTCAATGAATGTCTGTAAGAGTATTAATTGTTTTTTTGATAGTAACGGACAACATACAAACGTCGATCGAACATAAATATCCATGTAATAAATTTTACTAAGATCATTTTTGACCCAAATATGCTTCTCTCCTGGAGTCAGGGCTAATTATTTATTTAAAATACAAAATTAATTATTGAAATAAAGATTTTATTGAGTATTAAAATATTATAATTAAAACATTATAAAAACGTTGAAACTATAAAATATATAAAAAGTAAAAGACAATATTGTTGAAAAATTATGAAAAACAACGTTACCATTAAGAATGTTAGAAATGAAACCAAAATAATTCACGAATACTCTACATCAAGGTATGGTCTCAAAGAAAACAGCAAATTCAGTTGTTACTGCCAAGTTTCGACCTATTTTAAGGTCATCATTAGGGCGAATATTAATTTCACATTATGAAAAACATCTTTCGACAATTGACTTAACAATTTTTTTACATATTGTGAACATTTGACTCCAGTACAACATAAAATTCTTTACTAAACAAGAAAAAACTGACAACACGAAATGTGCCACTTTTCCTGTTCAACACTCACACCGATGCGATAAAGTTCGACAGGAAACTAAGATATGCCACTTTTCGTGAATGGAGACAGTGCGTTTCCACCAAATCGAAAGTGACATTTGGTGCTGCTCAACAGCTAAGAGTCCACCTACAGTAAAGGTAATTTTCCTGTACGATCACACACCTGAACACTTAAAAAAACTAAATAATCCGGTTTTTAACATTTTTTCGACTTGTGACACTTTTGGGTGTGCGATATGTACTTCACTGTTCAATTATCGTAAGGAAATATTAAACAAATAAAAAACTACATTTACTGATGTTAGATCTCTATTTTAAAAATGTGAAGACGATATTAACGAAAG